GGGTTCTTAATCCATATTAATTTATATCTCTTGCATATTTAAGTTGAACGTCTTTAACATTTAGGGCCCGTTTGACAGAGCTTTTATTTTTATTTTTAGTCAATAGAAGAATAGAAGCAAAAGTTGTGGTTTTTTTATTAATATTTAGAATAAAAAAATTTAATAAGTCAAAATAGTTTTTAAATTGTCTAATAAGCAATTAAAATATTAGAATGAAGTTTATGATGTTTTAATGAAATTCTAGTACTGTAGACACCAGATGGTACACTTAATGGGTCAAAATAGTTTTTAAATTTTTTAATAAATAATAAAAGTATTGGCTGGCTTCTGATGGTGGGATGCTTAAAATGAATGTTGATGCCTCTGTACCTCCCAATGGTAGTTTTGTTGGTGTCGGGTTTTATCAGAGATTCATCAGGCTATGGAGAGCCTTTTCGAAGCAGATACATGTGAGTTTTTCCCCATTTGTTGCAGAATGTATGGCTATAAGGGAGGGACTTCTCTTCACCAGGGATAGTTGTCTCCGTGCTTCCTTGGTGGGAAATGATTTGATTAACGCAGTTGCTGTGAATGATGCTCTTTCTTTTGCTGCGGGATTTCCAATTTCAAATGGCATTAGGATCTCGATGGGAGGAGCGAATGGTGGTTCTTGTACTCGCGCTTCTCATCAGAGCAATAGAGTTACCTACTTATTAGTGAAATCTTTTTCTTTGCATAAATATCTGTTCTGATTAGAAGAATTTTCTAATTGTATTGATAGTTTTGTAAGTATTAATGCAACTTTTTATTTAATGCAACTATATCTACTTTTTTTATATAAAAAAATTTCAGTACAAGCTTTAAAGTTTATAAGGATTTTTAAAAGTCTCATTTTATAGTTTTAACTGTAAGCTCTTCTGAAAAGTCAAATCACTCCTTACAAATCATTTAAACACTTTCAAAAATACCTTTTAGAGTTAGTAAAAATAAGGTGAACTAAAGGAATATCGTTTTTAGATTGTTGGTGTTCGTATGTATACTTTTGGAATGATTTAATCCTAACTTACACAGAAAAGTGTACAAGTGAATAACTATTTTTGTGGGTGGCATTGGGTTCATCATATTTAAAACTGTTAAAAAATGGACGTTTTACTGATGGAAGTTGGGGGATCAATTATGTGCATTTTGAGTTATAGGAGTAAAGTAAGACAATCCTTGTTATTTGGGAACAAATTTAAAAGTAACTCAAAAATTAATGACACAATTAAAAAAACAAATTTTAAGCAGTTACGAAGCCAAACAAATGTTCAGGGGGACTTAAATTAAATTAAAATCTTAAATTAAATTGATTGTGTAATATTAGAAGTAAAAAATTAAGAATGTAAACGAGATTTTCTAAAATGTTATAATAAAATATAGATTAAATGGGTAAAATAATATAATTTTTTAATCAAACTTAAGGGTATAAGTAAAAACTTCTAAAAATTCAGTATAAAAATTAGAAATGAAAAATTTTAAGGGGGCTAAACAAGAAAAAATAATACAAAATAGTAAATTTTAAATGAATATTAAAGAAGTGGGGAAATGAGACAAATATCTCTTCAAGTGCATTTGTTTGAATTTTTATCTCTTACTCTTGATTAATATACTTTTTAGTCAAATAATTATATTAGTAAAAAATGTATTAATCAAAAGTAAGAGATAAAATTCAAAACCTATACACTTTAAGGTTAAGTTCAACGATTTTTTTTAAAAAGTTAGCTAGGCCCGGGAGGCTACAGCCCTCATGGGCCTTGGCTAGCTTCGTCCCTGATTTTAAGTAAAATAAGAAAAAATATTAGAAGAAAACAGTTCAAAGTTTAAAATTTTCAGAGAAAAAAGACGTCAAGGCGAAAATATAAATTTCTTGGGGAAAAAAATGTGGTATGCCACAACTTTTATATGTTTTTGAATTTATGTCAAAATTTCTTCGTGGGCGGATTTATTTTACAATTTGTTGATCATTGATTAGTTCATTTGTATGGCACTAATATAAAACCTCGATATAAAGTTTTCAACAAGTAAACTTTAAAAGTGGCACGTCATCTAATTTACAGTTAAATTAGAGAAATATATTTTTAGAGAATTTGTATTTAAATGCACAACCTTTTTTTTTTTAGAGAAGAAAGCCTAATTTATACCCAAAAAAAAGGTAGGACTGAATAATCTTTACATACATAAAAGTTATAAAGGAACTTCTTCGTTCGGCACATGACGACTTTCATTTTTTTCTTTTCTCTTTTTCGTCTTTTTCTTAATTTACCTTTTCTCATTATTTTTCCTTTTTGATTTCTTGTTTCAGTTCTTCTTTCTCTCCTTTTTTTAAAGGCCCCTATATAATTTTTTTCCCTTCAATTTTCTTTTGTTTACTTATTATCTCATAACATTTTTCTTTATTTTTCCTTTGTAATCCCTATATTTTAAGATGTACTTCACTAAAATACCTTTTTCTCTTATTACCTTATTGAAATAGTTTTTTTAAATAGACCTTAACTTATGATGTGTCTTTTTAAAATACTTTTATTTCTTTTAAAATACTTTTCTTTCAAATGCATCCTTAGTTCTTTTTTTTTTTTTTTTTTTCCAAAAGCTTTCATACATTTTTATTTTTTTCGATGCGGTTTTTGAAATTTTGTTCCCTTCCTTACTCATATCAAGTTATTTTGTTTTAAATGTTTTCCTACTTAATTTTCGTGTAATACTAATTATTATGTTATAACATTTTACATCATTTTTTTTTTGTAATTTTATATTTAAGGATGTATTTTACTAAAATAATTTTTTCATATCTACCTTACTGAAAATAATTTTTACTAATATAACCTTACTTAAATATATTTCTCCTTCTCATATGTGCATTTTAATTAGTTCTCTTTGCTATTTGTTCTAAATGTGTTCTATTTATAAATATAAAAGTGTTAATGTGCCCCTTTCTTCGGTTCCTCCACATCACTGATCCCATTTTGGTCTTTTTTTTTCTTTTTCTTTTTCCTATCTTTTCTCCATCAATAACATAAGTCATTTTATATTCATTTTTATCCTTGTACTCTTATATTTTAAGATGTGGTTTACTAATTCTTTTCTTTTTTATCGTAATAAACTATATTGTTTTTCTAAATATATCATTACTCATACATCTTTTCTCTTCTCATATCTACGCCTTAATTATTATTATTATTTGATTTATTCAAAATATGTTCTATTTATGAAAAGTGCGAATATGTAAGCTCAATTACCTCAATTAAAGTAACTCAATAAAATTTAAATAGTTATATAAATAAATTCCTTACTATATAGAAAATAATAAACTACTTAAGTGACTTTAATATGACAACACAATACGAAGCATATTTAGAAATTAGCAAACTTCCAAAATGACACCAAACCTAATTTAAGGCAAGTTTTCCATATAACGTAATCTTATTAATCATTTTTAAATATAGTAAAAGAATTAATAATAATTTTCAAATAAAAATATTGAAGATCATTATAACAAGAGAATACGACTATGTTAATGTCATGTTTTAATTTCACTCTTATAAACACACGCCATGTAATCTAATTTTTAGAGAGAGAAATGAGATAAATACCCTTTTATATATAGTGCATGAATATGAATTTTTATTTATTATTCTTGGTTAAAATCTTTCTTAGTTGAATAATTATAATATCTTTTTTAATTGAATAATTACATTAGTCAAAGGGTTTTCAATTGAATAATTACATTAGTAAAAAATGTATTAATCAAGAACAATAGATAAAAATTTAAATCTATGTACTAGCGCATTTAATATGAAATAATCTTTGAGTGTGAATAAAAATCTTCTCATATTCACACGTTTGGCATACGAATTTTAATTTTTATATTTATGAGAAAGTAAATCCCATATTTTAGCTCAAAATGAGATAATCTGAATAAAAGTGTTATTCAAATGCTCATAAATCTCATAAACGAATCTCACAAAAATACCCAAAATCACAGCCCACCCACACCACCACCACCACCATAGATCATGACCCGCCCAGCTACCACAAACCTGCAGACCCATCCCCAATGCTCAGTCATCGGCCGTCGGCCATCGCCTCCCCACCTCCATGGCTACCGTCGCCGAGAAAGACCGCCGTCTTAGGCCCCCTCCCCCTCCGTCGCAAGCCCTCCCGTTACAGCCTACAACCATTACAAGACTAATCTCAGCCCCCCTCCGTCGCAGCTTTTCCCAACCGTCACAGACTCCCTCCACCGCAGGCCACCGTCCTTTCCGTGTCATACCAGATTTGATTTGAGTTTTTAGGAGAGAGATCTGATTTGAATTTGTAAGGATAGAGAGAGAGAAGGAAAGGCAGGGATCGAGAAGGGAGGGTGCCTATTCTTTTTTGCAAGTTTTTGTTTTTTTGTTAATTTTAAAATTGATTCTGATTATTCATTTTTTACGTTTTTTATATTTTTCTAATATTTTTAATTATATTTGAAAAAAAAAAACCTGTCAAAACTATAATAATCTGATGAGTAAATTTCACTAGGAAAAGCATTTAATAAATTAATCTTAAAATATTTAGAATTGTTTATTATGTAAAAAAATTACATTACTGTATTTAACTAAATACAATACAAATAATATTCTTAAAAATCTATTATTAGATTCATATATTTAACTAAACGTGATAATATATATTTCCTTAAAATCATATTACCTTTTATTATTATTTTAATAATATGATTCATATTTATTACTGACCCTAAAGGAAGTTGAACAATTTTCTTTTCTTTTTTTTAAAAGTAATTTTCACATTTCCTCCTCATAATAGCCGATTGGGTCTCCTTAAGGCCCATTAAATAAGTTAAGGCCCACAAAGAGTGGGTCTATCACTATTCCCAATTAAAATGAATTTGGGCCTAACACTAATGGGGTGTTTGGAAACATCGGCTAATAGGTCATGGGAGTTCTGGGATTAGGGTTTTAGAATGAGAGTATAAAAGGGATTTTACAGTCAGACGAGACACTGAGCGAGACACGGCTACGAACAACGACCTTGCCGGAGAAGACGAAGAAGAAGAAGAAGAAGAGCCATGGTTCACGTCTCGTTCTATCGCAACTGTAATCTCTCTCTCTCTCTCTAAGATTATCTGTGATCTGCGAGGAACTTTATGTGGTTCGTTTTATAGAGATTGGGATTAGGGTTTTGGTTGTCAAATAAAATGATCCGTGATCTGATTTGAATGTGATTTCGAAGCGTCGTATTGATAATGGCGCTCGTTCTGCACCCTGTTTGGTGCTTTTTTTTTTTTTTAGAAAATGGTTTTGCTTAATTTTGTTTGGTTCTATGATGGGTTTTCGGTAAAAAAGAGTAGATATTTTTATGTGGAATTATTAGCTTATGAACTTTTGAGATGCTGGTGTGAAATGAATGTGATCTGTTTGTGTCATGGGTACAAAGGATCTAAGATTTGACATAAACTAAGGTCGATTAAGTATCGATCCTTAGGCATTTTGTAGTTTTACTTTATGGGATTTCGACATTTGACATTTGATTTGAATAAGTAAGATAATTGTTTGTGCACCGTGTTGATAGTTTTCAATGTTGTATATTCAGATTTTTTTTTTATTTTCTCTTTTTCATATTTGGTGTTATGCTTTTGAGAACTTCTGATGCATAGAACATTGGGCTTGTTAATTTCTTTAGCACAAAGAAAATAAAGCCAGGATATTTTGACTTATGTGAGGTTTTTTGTTGGTGCACTATGGGTTAATACTGATTGCTGCTGTTTTGAATTTCCAAAATCGTGATATGAATTCTGTACATGTTCAGATGGGAAGACATTCAAGAAGCCCCGTCGACCCTATGAGAAGGAGCGTTTGGATGCCGAGCTGAAACTCGTTGGTGAGTATGGACTTCGTTGCAAGAGGGAGTTGTGGAGAGTTCAGTATGCATTGAGCCGTATCCGTAACAATGCTAGGATGCTTCTGACCCTTGATGAGAAGAACCCCCGCCGTATCTTTGAGGGTGAGGCTCTTCTCCGTAGGATGAACCGCTACGGGCTTCTGGATGAGAGTCAAAACAAGCTCGATTATGTCTTGGCACTGACTGTTGAGAACTTCCTTGAGCGCCGTCTGCAGACACTTGTTTTCAAGTCTGGTATGGCAAAGTCTATTCACCATGCCCGAGTTCTCATTAGGCAGCGTCACATCAGGTAATCTTATCTGTTTTAGTTTAAGGAACATCTTACCATATTTATGCTGCACTGTTTATTATTGGTCTCTTTTTAATCATTAAGTTTGTAAGCTTGTTGGTAACATTCCAAAACCCCCCCCAAAAAAAAAAATGAGGCAGCAAAAGTTGGCTCTGGTAGTACATTTGTTTATTTATCAAACTACCAAGGTGTTTCTGTGGTAGTGTACACAGGGTTCTTTTTGGCCAGCCAGGATGGTTCCTTTTTTCGTTATCTTCCTTTTTTTTTTTGGTAATTGATGTATTTGGGTTGATTCAACCGTGGATATCATAAAGGGTCTGGTGATGATGATTGCAAGTTATTCTATTAGGATGAATGCAATCGGTTGAGAACAACTGCTATGATTTATCAATAGATAATCAATATCTCGTTTGAATATGGAGTTCATGTATTTCAATAGATATAATGGCCATATTTTTACAATATTGTTATCTGTATTTCGTGGCAGAGTTGGGAGGCAGGTAGTGAACATTCCCTCATTCATGGTGAGAGTAGATTCTCAGAAGCACATTGACTTCTCACTCACAAGTCCATTCGGTGGTGGTCGTCCTGGACGAGTGAAGAGAAGGAACCAGAAGGCAGCTGCTAAGAAGGCTGCTGGTGGAGACGGCGATGAGGAGGATGAGGATTAAATGATGCGAGTTTAGATCTTCTCCTTAGCATTACTAGTAGAACTTTTTTTCCTGGCACTCTTGCATTTTGAAATTTTCTTGCACTATTTTAATGTTATGAACTTTTCAAATGTTTGTTTCAGCTTCTTTGTCTGGGTGTTTAGGAGATGTTGTGTATCTTTTTGACTCTCGGAAGAATTTAATTTTTCTTTCTCAGTAACACACACCTATCTGGTTGTTTTTAAGTTCTTGTTTCGGAAAGGTCTTGAGAATCATGCTGTGTCGTTTGCTTTCTGTGCCAGTAAGTTATCTTCTTTGTCAAATCACTGACGGTCTCTTATTCATCAATGGCTGTTGTCGTGTAGTAAAATTTGTTCGTTGCTGACATGACTACAAACACATATTTGGTAATATCTTGATGAGGGTAGAATACAGTCATGACTTTTGACCAGTTGGAGAGAAATTCATAGGTTATCTCGGTACAATAGAACAATTGAAGATAAAATTCAGTACTAGTGAACAAAATGTATATTTGGTGAAATGCATATAACTAACAAATGTGCTGTCCAAGTTTGCTGTCAGATGAAATTTACGAATTTCTCTTAATTTGTTGGGATATTTTTTTTTTTCTTTTGTGATTAAAAAGAAGTCAGTTGGACGCCCTTTAACTTTACGAGTTTAGTAAATTGATCTCTTAATTTTTTTTCTTAACAACTCACTCTTTAAATTTTAAGATTTATTGTAATGTTAGTAAAATTGAAAAATTTGGATAGTATTCTCCTATGGAGGATAATTAATATTTTTTTGTATTAAATTAATCTGTTTTTTTTTTTTTTTTTTTTAAATTGAGAGTTAACCGTTTTGAAAGAAAAATCATGGTGGAGCAAAATCGGTGGGAACCGTATATTAATTTTTGATACGAATATGTTAAAAACTAATTTAAAACAAACTGTTTCGAAGGTGAAAAGAAAAAAACACTCAACCATAAAGATTCTCAAAAATAAAGGTTAATTGTATTATTGCTAAGCTGTGAGGCGGGTCTCATAAAAGAAATACCTGACAAGAGACAATGGGGCATGTTTGTTACCGTTTCTGTTTTCATTTTTCACATTTTTCGAAGTAAAAAATTAAAAACAGGAATGAAAAACGTGTTTGGCGAAGTTTGTGTTAGAAAACAAAAACAAAAATGTTTTTGTCGTTTTGTGGAATTCTGAAAACGAAAAAAATCCGTTTTCATTTTTTGGTTTTCATTTTGGTTTTCTTTCTTTCTTCAGCCTCGATCTGTCCTCCCGTTCTCTCTTCTTCGATTTTTTCTTCCGTTCTTCAGCCGAGCTCTTTTTCCCTTCCCTTCTTCAGCCGAGCTCTTCTTCCCGGCCGAGCCCCGGCGTTCTTCTCGCCCAAGAGTCAAAGACTTGCGCCGTTTGCTTCTCACCCGAGCTCCTCCGTTCGCCTGAGCTCCTCCGGTCTCTTGTTGCCCGATCTGCGCCGTTCTCATCTCGCCGTTTTCTCACCGAGGTATGCCCCTAGCCAAAAATGTTTTGATGGTGTTTGATTTTCCGATCGATTTGGTTGAGCAATTTCTGATTTGTTTTTTTTTTTTTTTTTTTTTTTTTTTTTTTTTTTTTTTTTTTCGTTTTGGTCTTGCCGTTTGATTTGCTATATTTAACCAAATCGGTTGCTAGTTTTCCGTTTGATTTGGTGTTGTTTTGTTTCTAATTTTCCTATGCTTGATCTGATTTGGTCTTTTTTTCCGTTTTTTCCCCTGGAGGCCCCCGTTGGGGCTGATACAGCCCCTGGGGGCCACCCATTGGGGCTGTATCAGCCCCTGGGAGGCCCCCCCGTTGGGGCTGAATCAGCCCCTGGGGGCCTCCCATTGGGGCTGGCCTCGGAGGCCCCCAATGGAGGCTGATAATTAGCCCTAATGGGGGCTGAAAATCAACCCCTAGCCCCCATCAACCCTGATGGGGGCTGATAATCAGCCTTGATGGGGGCTGAAAATCAACCCCCCATCAGCCCCAATGGGGGCTGATTATCAGCCCCCCCAATGGGGGCTGATTCTCAGCCCTGATGGGGGCTAATAAATCAGCCCCCATCAGCTCCAATGGGGGCTGATTATCAGCCCTGATGAAGGCTGATAAATCAGCCCCTATCAACCCCATTGGGGGCTGATTATCAGCCCTGATGGTGGCTGATAAATCAGCCCCCAACAACCCCATTGGGGGCTGATTATAAGCCCTGATGGGGGCTGATAATCAGCCCTGATGGGGGCTGAAAATTAGCCCCCCATCAGCCCCAATGGGGGCTGATTATCAGCCACCATCAACCCCATATTCATCAGTTTAGAAATGGTGGTCAACCAACGGGACCACAAGAGTTATTCAATTATTATCACTCTTCACTGCGTAATTGCATAGAGATGTGCTTTGGGGTCTTGAAAGTAAGGTTTAAAATTCTTAGGCATATGACCAATTATTGGATGCCAAGACAAAATGTTATACCAATATCTTGTTGTGTGATCCACAATTTAATTAAAATGCACGCGCGAGATGATTCTCTATTTAGACAATATGAGGTCGATTTGCCCGTAGAAGATATTGAGGGAGAACAAGAAGGGCAACAGGAACAACAACATGGTATAGATGCACAAGAAGCAGAAACATCTGAAATGAGTGGTCAGCAATAACGTAATTACATGGTTAATTTAAGGGATCATCTAGCTAATCAAATGTGGGATTCTTATAGGCGACAATAATTTAAACTAATATTGTAATTTCTATATTTTATTAATTATTAGTGTTTTTATTTGTGATTCAATTATTATTTATTTTAAATATTTTAAATACTATTACATGTTTTTAAAAATGAAACCACCAAATGTAGTTTTAAAATATATTAAATACTATTACATGTTTTTAAAAATGAAACCACCAAACGCAATTTCAGTTTTTTTTAAATTGAAATCAATCTCTAAATAAAACTACCAAACGCATTTTCAGAAATAATTCAAAAATAAAAATAAAAACGTTTTCATTTTTATTTTTGTACAGAAAATAAAAACGTTTTGAAATTAATTCTAAACGCACCCGAGAGTTCCATCTTTTTTTTTTTTTGAACTTCCATTATAAAATCTATAGTTACAGCCATATTTTTTAAATATTAATAAAACATTTGGAAATTTGTGGGAATTTTCATCCTTTGACTTGAAGATTAATTTTCCTGTGAGCGGGCAAATTGTATTAGAAAGTTACTCTCCTGTCCTTATTTTGTGGGTTCTGTCGAATTTATTTATTTATTTTAAAAAATTGATGCTTGTAATTTGTTAATTAATTCGCTCAATCCAATATTCTTCTTCACATTCCATCCTCTCTCCATAATAATAAAAACCAAAAGTCTTCTAAATCATAATCAGTTTCCCCATCACAGAGAAATGGATTCCATCAACTTCGTCAAAGGATACGGCAAAGTAACTGTAAATCCCAACAATCTCGAAAATCAAACCCAAAAACCTTCTCACAAACGACGTCGTCTAATCGCCATCTCAGCCCTTCTCTTCCTCTCTTTGGCCATCGGCCTAGTCATCGGAGCCCTAATCCACGAGTCAGCCACCGAGTCACCGGAATTGCCGTCACTCGCCTCCAACTCGGCCGACTCAACGATCAGAACCATCTGCAACTTCACGCGCTTCCCCGACGCGTGCGTCTCCAGCATGACCGCCGCCAACAACCCCCCCGAGTCCGATCCGAAAGCCCTTCTGAAGCTCTCCGTCGAAGTCGCCATCACCGAGACCTCGAAGCTCTCGTCGGCGCTCGAATCGATGAACTCCGGCGACGCGGCGACGCGCGATTGCCGCGATCTGGTGGAGGAGGCGCTGAGTCGACTCAACGATTCGGCGGTCGCGATCGTGGTGGGACCGGGGAAGGGGGATGATCTGACGGCGGAGAAGATGAAGGATCTGCAGACGTGGATCGGCACGGCGGCGACGGATGAGGAGACGTGCTTGGATGGGTTGGAGGAGACGGGATCGGCGGTTTTTGATGAGGTCAAGGCGAAGATGGATAAGTCCAAGGAGTACATTAGCAATGCTTTGGCAATTGTGGCTAATTTCCACGCTATTCTTGACAAGCTCAAGAATACGGTTCATCGATAGAAACGAAAATTTGTACATATATTTTTGAAGGTAATATAAGACACCAATCTTATTATGGGAATTTGTAACAGTAATCTAGAAAAAAAATTTGTTGTTTTTTATGTTTTATTTTTATTTTTGTGAATGACCCCAAAAGAAGTGTTTGTCAATCTGTGTAATATTTCACGAAAACAATGTTAAAATAACTAATTACTCAATGTTATGTAAGTTTCTCATAGAATTTTGTTATTATTGTTGTTCTATAACAAAAACAATGTGTAATAACTAATTAGTTCATATTATAAACTTTCTGTTTCAAAAAATAAATGTGGTAAAGTTTCTCATAGAATTTTGTTTATATTGTTATTCTATTTATTTATTTATTTTGGGTTTTGGCGCTTGTTCTCTTTAAATCTCTCATCATTTGACCCTTTTGTTCATGGAATTTTCATTCTTAGCAATTTTTTAAACCAATTATCAAACCATTAGAAGTTAATTCCAATAGTTGAAGCGAGAATTATAACAGATAAGCTATTTTAAAAAAAAAAATATTGATGATAAATAGAATATTTAAAATATTTATGCTAGATATTATAAAAAAAATATTTATGCTAGATAACTTGTTTACGGTGAAGCAAATTTATAAAATAAATTTTACTGTAAATATGTTTCGTAAATGAATTATTATCATAAATAATATTTTACCATAAATATTTTCAAACAATGCTATTTAACTCTTTTTTCCTAGTTAGAGAGCTTAAATGTTCAAATAATTATGGCCTTTTAGCACAATGCTTCTTAAATTTGTCCTAAGTTTACTTTTGGATGGTGTTCCACATTGTTAGTATTTAATTAGTATGTATTTTTAAATACCACATCACATCATAATCGCATTGATAATGATGAAACCAAATTTTCATAAAATGAAAGCATTATCTCATAGAATGAAACCAATTTAGAGTTACACAAAGGTGTTTGGTTATTTTGACCATTATTATTTTGTATCGTATTACAAAATTGTGATACATGTACATTCATAATACTAATACATATTGTCTCTGACACTTGGTTTGGTAGGAGGATTGATGGATGGATGGAGAAGAGTGGAGGGAGAGTCCAAATCAGTTTTTAGTTGGAAGGAAATGGGAAGGGAGAGGAGATGTGGAGAGATGGGGTGTGTTTGGTAAATGGATCCAGAATTATAATTTTAGATTCTGATTTAGAATCAATGTTTGTTTACAGTGATTCTGAATTATGATTTGAAATTTATGTGATGTTTTAAATTAGTTCAAATCATGATTTTAAAATTATCCGCTCTTAATTCAAGGTGATTCAAACCTCTAATTCTGAATTATAATTTCAGAATAATAATTTAAACTAAAAAATCATAAATTCTAATTCTAAAATTATAAATAAAATCACCATAATTTAAATTTTCGTACCAAAAAATTATTCACCTGGGCCCACCATTTTACTTCCTCTTTCTCATGGACGGATCAATCAGTGAACAAAGCCTAATTTACTCTCCAATATAATATTTAATTTAGTTTCTCTTTTCTTTTTTTCTCGTTTCACCTAAACTATTGAAACCTAAAACGTTTTCTCCTTCTCCTGCATTTTCCACTTCTTGCTCAGAGCAATAAATTGAGGAAAAAATCTTTGTTCTTGGAGAGCTGTGGGATAATTTTAGGTACTCTTTTTGTCACAGCTCTGAGCTCACTTTCTTATGTTTGTATGCATATGTTTTATTAAATTTTATTCTGATACAAAACGTAGTGAGTGGATTACTATGGAAATTTGGGAATATGAACTTGGAATTGGTGGTTTTCCATTTGTATCATCTCTACATTTCCACGGTTAGAGCAATATATATATATATATAT